CGCCCACCCCGAGAAAAAAAACCTCTAAAAAAAAAAAAAAAAAAAGACACAAACAAACACACACAAATACCAGAAGAAAAAAAAAAAGGCCTTTTCTAAAAAAGAGATGCAGTCTGCTAGATCTCAAAGAGGTTGTGGAGGAAACTTTGGAGGTGGTGGAGGTAATTTTGGTCATGGTGGAAACTTTGGTGGAAGAGACGGCTATGGTGGTGGAGGTGGTGGCAGCAGAGGTAGTTATGGAGGAGCTGATGGTGGATGTAATGGATTTGGAGGTGATGGTGTCAACTATGGTGGTGGTGGTCCTGGTTATAGTAGTAGAGGTGGCTACGGTGGTGGTGGACCAGGATATGGAAACCAAGGCGATGGATGTGGTGGTGGTGGTGGAGGATATGATGGTTACAATGGAGGAGGAAGTTTTGGTGGTGGTAACTATGGTGGCGGTGGAAACTATAATTTTGGAAATTATAGTGGACAACAGCAATCAAATTATGAACCCATGAAAGGAGGCAGTTTTGGTGAAAGAAACTCGGGCAGTCCTTGTGGTGGTTTTGGATCTGGTGGTGGAAGTGGTGGATATGGTATTAAGGAGGTTCTAAAAACAGCAGAAAAGGGCTACAGTTCTTAGCAGGAGAAAAAGCGAGGAGTTGTCAGGAAAGCTGCAGGTTACTTTGAGACAGTCGTCCCAAATGCATTAGAAGGGACTGTAAAAATCTGCCACAGGAAGAACGATGATCCGTAGTCAGAAAAGTTACTGCAGCTTAAACAGGAAACCCTTCTTGTTCAGGACTGTCATGGCCACAGTTTGCAAAAAGTGCAGCTATTGATTAATGCAATGTAGTGTCAATTAGATGTATATTCCTGAGGTCTTCTATCTGTTGTAGCTTTGTCTTTTTCTTTTTCTTTTCATTACATCAGGCATATTGCCCTGTAAATTGTGGCAGTGGTACCAGGAATAAAAAATTAAGGAATTTTTAACTTTTCAATTCTTGTGTAGTTCAGTTTTTCTACATTTTAGTACAGAAACTAACAAAATGCAATTTTGACGGTGTTTCCTTGAGTTAACAAGTAAAGAAGATCATTGTTAATTACTATTTTGTATGAATTTTGCTAAAGTTAACTGTAAAGAAACACCTGCTGACTTGCAGTTTAAGGGGAATCTATTCTTCCCATTTCCAAACCATGATATGAATGGGTGTTGATATGTGGAGACAATAGATATTTGTATGCTTGCAATGTGTATTTTAGATACATAGGATTGGGTATTTAAATTAGCATATTTGTGAATCTAATAGCATTAAAAATACCTTCAAATGAAAAGTCTCAAAATTCCTATTTAGTTTTTGTGCATTTTCTTTCAACATATAACCATATGATTTTAGTATATTAGATTTGCTGAATTCTGGCTGTGTTTAGAACATCTTCATTCTATATTTACCTTGGTCACATTTGAACTGCTCTGCCATAGTTGTTGGGTGTAAAGAATGTCTACTGCTCCCTTATTTAAGTTCTGAAAAGGGATAGTGGATGTTTTCCTTCTCCTATCTTAAAAACCATTCATTAAAACTTGGAACACACAGGGCCGCGCCACTAACCCTGCATATCTAAGCAAACTAGTGAGTACCTTTTTCCCCCTTAAAGCAGAAGAGGCCCTTAAATCTTTTTATTTTCCTTGATTTAATTTTTTTTTTTTCCCAAGTCAAGCTCTTAGAGCAAGAGAATGAAAATCATGCATTATTGAACCCTTAACTGGCTGGCATGCTTTCCTGTTTGTACCCTATACAATTTAACTGAATGAAACCAAGGATAGTTTAGGTATAGTCATCTAAAATAATGTACTGCAGCAGAAATGTAGCACAATTGCTTAGTACAAGTTTCTCACTTCCCAAAGACCTGAATCAAATTTGGGTAGTCTTAAGGTCTTTATTAATCTTAATTTCCCAAAGAACACACTGTTAATACCTTGTATATATATATATCAAACCTAAATCGTGTTGGTGTGAGTTATCAATTTGTCAGGAAGATCATGGTTGACAAGAGTTATAGACGATAAGGTCATACTTACATAAATCAATTGTCTACCGTTTGCGCCAGCTAGTGCTTACTATTTCATTTGAACCCTAAGTATGTGCCCTACTCTTAACCTTTGGCAGTTGAACGTTGAATTCAAGATTCTTATTTTTGTTTTAAGGAGTGCTAAGCAAAACAAGCAATGAAAAGAGGGAATGGGGTGTGCTAGTGTTTCAATATGCTCTGTTGTTGCTCTTACTCTGTGCCTCTGTGCATTATTATTTGGATGCATGCAATGCCAGCATGGAAATCGGTTTTCCCAGATAACTACAGTTTTCCAGAAAACACTCAAACCAATAAATGTGACAGAAAACATTCCATTCATTTGTTAATGGGCATATGTGAATAAGCAGTGTAGAAAATAGGCTAATATTAGAAAATGGTTCAAATCCTTAACTTCAAGTGTGGTTATATAACTGGACACTGTCAATGTTCATAACTTAAACATGGGTACCTCGTCAAAATAATACTTAGGAAAACATTTTATTAAAATCGAACTAAATTGTTAAAAAAAAAGTAGTTAAGAGACAAGTAGACCATTTGCAACTGGATTACTGGACCCAGAATCAAACTTACCAGAACAGAATACATATCAGATCATTGGATAATAAGGATGCTGACTATTTGATGTTATGAAATAATTATTGTGCATGCACAGGGACCAAGTAGGAAACTTGAGAGAAATTATGGGACCTGGCAGTGAGGTCATGAGAAGAATAAATATTCATGTAACGCTTAGCTCTATCAGCAAAAGACTTGGTGACTAATTGGATGTTGGGCTCAAGGCAAGGGAGAAATCAGGCTTTTCTATTGAGAGACACTGAGTGGGGAGGAAGAAGAAATACATGAGTTTAGAGGTACATATTAAATAGTCAAGTGGAGGTCTTAAGTTAGAAGATGAATATTTGAGTTTGGGAACTTGAGAGAAAAAACTGGGCTCGATGGGTGGGTATGAGAGGCAGTTTGCTGTCTGTTAGAGTGCATACAGTCTTACCAAGGAAAAGGAAAGGAAGTAAAAAAGAAAAAAAGCTCAGGGAGAACCTTGCAAAATTAAGAGAAGGAAGAACAGAAGAGGAGATGGAGATAGAAGATCCAAGAGAGGAAGAAATAGCATGGAAGCTAAAAGGAAGAGAATTGAGTGGTGATCTCAAATACTTCAAGGACAAAGCAATAGGATTAGAAAAGTTCTGTTGTTTTTGGCTATTTAACAAAATTTTTGTGGAGTAAAGAAAGCAGAAGCCTAAAAAGTGGGGTAAGGGAAGAATAAGAGGTGAGAAAAGGCAATGAATATATAAATCCAATTTAAAAAGGTTTGCTGCAAAAGAATGTGGGGAGGGACCAGCAGTTGGCGTAATGGCTATGTCACTACACTCCCATGTAGTCAATAACGGTTCAAGTCCCAGACCCGGTGGGTGGCTTTAAACTCATGCTGGGTGCGTGTGCGTGCATCCCCAAGATCCTGAGAGGACAATGGAGGAGAAGGGTTTGTGGCATGACCATCCCCCCTGGGGGGTGATTTCTCGCTTTCTGTCTCTGTCTTTCTGGTGAGCGCACATGCCCTGTAGCAAAAACTTCTCCCAAAAAAAAGAGAATGTGGGGAAAGATAGTGGTAGTTAGAAGAATTCATGAGGTTGAAGATGACTATTATAGTTTGTTTTTAAGGTCAAAGACATTTGAGTGTGTTTAAATATTAGTGTGGTAGAACTTGTAGAAGGAGAGATTGAAAATGATGATGATAGACTGCTGCTTCTGTTGAGCAGAATAGGTGTTGGGCACAAGTTTAGGGGGAAGTACAGGAAGTTTGCTCCTCCTGGCTTTACTTTATTTTCCTCTGTGAAGTAGGTAACATATACTACTGCTCAGAGGGTAGATTGGCAGAATCAAATTTGAAGAGAGTTGGGGGGGTGGGGTTTAAATAATGTTCATGGGAGAAAGAGAGATTGTTATAAGATTTGCTAGTCGACTGCCGTTCGCGTGCTGGACCTGGTGGCTTAAAACTCACACTGGACACGTGTGCCTGTGTGCCCAAGATCCCAAGAGGAGAATGGAGAAGAAGGGATTGCTGCGTGGCTATCCCCCCTGGGGGATGATTTCTCGTTTTCTGTCTGTCTCTGTAGAGTGCACACGCCCTATAGCAAAAACTTCTTCCAAAAAAAAAAAAAAAAGTAGCAGTAGGGACCAGCAGATGGCATAATGATTAGGTCGCTGGATTCCCATGTAGTTGACTGTGATTCAAGTCCAGACCTGGCAGCTTAAATTCGCGCCGGGTGCATGTGTGTGCCCAAGATCCCAAAGGAGAATGGAGGAGAGGGGATTGTGGTATGGCCCTCCCCCCGGGGGGTGGTTTCTCGTTTTCTGCCTCTCTGTCTTTCTGGCAAGCACACGCACCCTATAGCAAAAATCTGTCTTTAAAAACTTTTAAAAAAAATAAAGAGTAGTAGCAAAATAATTAATTATAATTAATTACTTCAAAGATAATGCTGCTTGATCCCTGAATTCATATTGGATGGGGCGGGCAGGTTCTTTTGACAGGTGATGTGCTTAGACATTGAAGTTAGCACAGCACTTCTCATACTTTAATATTTATGTGTATCACATGGGAATCTAGTTAAAACTAGATTCTCATTTATTTGGTCTGGGCTAGGAATCAAGATGAGGATTTCTAGCACACTCTGGTGCTAATGCTGCTTGTCTATAGACACGTACAGTAATAAGGCCCTAGAGTAGAACTCAAGGGGACTTAAAGAGGGAAGGAAGGCTGTGAACCAGATGTCAGAGCCATCAGTGACTATAGGTTTGTGCTCTGGAGTTAGTTTTCTCTCTCTCTCTCTCATGTGTGTGTGTGTGTGTGTGTGTGTGTGTGTGTGTGTGTATAAAATTGTACATGTATAATACTTATAATGATAAGGCGACCCATCTGTGGTAGTTCAGGTGATGTGGCTCCACCATGTGATGCTAGAGCCATATGAGAGGCCATGGATTGGATCTTGGGTTGATCTGAACACACTGGATGTGCCAGAAGTCCTGGCTGACTGGAAGGCTGGGAGAGGGATTTCAGCATGATGAGGTCCTGCCAAGTTAAAGCATAAGTTGTAAAGGAAAAAAAAAAAATTAAGAGTTTGCAAAACCATGAAATAGGATTTAGGAGGGAGTCAGGAATTTGAGAGAATTGTGGGGATGTATAGAGTGGAGTGTGGATAAAAGGATTTTACATTTTGGATGATGAGGCCAGTAGAGATAAATTCAGCTAGTGTCCTGCAAGTTGGTGAGCAATGAGATAACTTGGAATGCAGCTATTTCTGAGGGAAGCAAGTCTCATAATCTGGTTTATATGGCAAACTTGTAAGTTTTCAGGTCTGGTGATATAATCAGCTGAAATAGGCATCAGGTTGCTCTGCATTGCCCAGTTAATGAGAACTACGTGGATGGTTTTAAGAGAAAGATGAACCATGAAACATGACTTGTTTGGTGGTATGTTCCCTGTAGGATTTGAATAGTATAAACTACCTATTGTTTATTTTCCCTCTAAATGATAATAGATGAGTGTATAGGCAGAGATAGGTTGGTATGGACTAGGACTCTCTAAGATAAAGATGACCATGATATATTTCACGAACATATTGAAACCTAACCTACTTGTTCAATAAAATTGAATAAAGCAGAAATCTAAAAACTGGTTGAAATTGGCCTACTCCTCCCACCCACCCCCACCCGGGGCAGAAATTGTACATATTTTGTAAATATTCGGAGTGTTTCTCATTGAAATCCACATTTTTTTTTTGGCAAAGCCTGAGAACCATATCACATTATTTATTAAATTGCATGGTCGAAGAAATAACTTGTGATTTGCTGTAATGTTGTATGTAGCTTTCTTTACTGTCTTTGAAATTGGCTTTTGTAATTTTGTTCCTTATGCTTGTTTTTAGTTTCAGAAGCCACTAACGATTCAATAGTGGATGATGTAGTTGAAAATCATGTTGCAGACCAACTTTCATCAGAAATCACACCAAATGCTATGGATACTGAATTTTCAACATCTTCTCCAGCCAATTTATTGGAACGACCAACAAATCACACAGAGGCTCTTGGTCATGACCATTTAGGAACTAATGACCTCAATATTGGTGGATTTTTAGAAAATCATGAAGAGCCAAGAGATAAAGAACAGTGTGCTGAAGAGAATATACCCGCATCCTCACTCAATAAAGGAAAGAAATTAGTGCATTGCAGAAGCCATGAAGAGGTCAATACTGAACTAAAAGCACAAATAATGAAAGAGATCCGAAAGCCAGGAAGAAGTATGTAAAATTAGAGACTAACTTCAGATTTGATTTCTGTGTGTGTTCAAAAATCAAAAAGTCAAATAATTGAAAGCATAGATCTGATTCTAGATTAGATAACTTTTGAACATCTGAGCTATGTAATATTTCATTCTTTATTCAACCTGCAAACACTTGAATACCTGTTGTGTTGAGGTATGGTGGGTGGGCAGCAGGATTGACAGCAGAGGAAAACTACACGTAGTTCATACTGTGACAGGAACCTATAGTCTTGAGTATTTATCTAGCCAGCAACTGGAATATTAAAATAATAGCTAATCCAAAAAGATGTGAAAAGTAATAACTTTGTGTCTATAAAGTTCTTATTATAGTACCTACCACTGTGTTTAAGATTTAAACTGATAGTGACCAGAAAATGTTTAGACCCAAAACCCAAAGGTTTGAAAGCTATCTATTATAAAAATACAGAAGAATTTTGTGGGAAAATTTTTTCTGTATTATTGTCATTCATTCAGAAAATGTTAGCATCGTATATTATAATGGTAATGTAGTGATCCACAGGTGGTCCAGAACATGAGTATCAGTCTGTAGCATTTAGGAGCTTATAATCCTTGATAAGTTTTATGTGAAACTTGAAATCGAAATGGCACTAGTTTTCCTAGTGTTCACCCACCCACCCCATTTGCTGTAGTTGCATTTAAGAGTAGATTTTTGAAAAGGCCACTTCCCTATTATTTTTTAGTGGTACTCTCAAAAAGCTATATTCTCACTCATCTAAGCCTTGTGTTCTATACTTTAAGAGCAACATTCACCAAAAAAAAGCAGTGTTTGACAGATTTTATCTTTGTTTATACATATACATTTTATATGTGCATGTTAAAAATGTATTATAAAATTTCTAATATGTTAAGATTTTATATACAATATTTTTGTAATAAACTACAATGGAAAAATATTGAATAAGAACACAAATGAAAGCCATTTAATTTTTTTTTTTGCTTCTCTTGTTTCCAGAATATGAAAGAATCTTCACTTTACTGAAGCATGTGCAAGGCAGTTTACAAACAAGACTAATATTTTTACAAAATGTCATTAAAGAAGCATCAAGGTAAATAAGCTTGCACATTATGAAATGAGAGCCCACTATATAGGCAGGTTTTTTTTGGGGGGGAGGGGCCCTTAAAAATTTTTTAGAGTTTTTGCCATAGGGCACTTACACTTGCCAGACAGAGACAGTGAGAAGAAACGTGAGAAACCACCTCCTAGGGGGGATGGCCACACTGCAACCCATTCTCCTCTTGGGATTTTGGGCACACACACCCGGTATGATTTTCAAGCCCTCAGGTCTGGGATTCGAACTATGGTTGACCATGTTTTCAGCACCTTAGCCACCAAGCCACTTGCTGGCCCCTATAGACAGCATTTTAACAGTATCTATTTGCACCTGTGTTGTTTTATATTTGTTAGGCACACTCATATATGTATAAATACTTTTTTAGTTTAATGAAAGCAGTTCACTTAAAAAAGTAGCTGCAAACAAATTCTCCAGGAATTATGAACCTTTTTTCCCTGCAAATTACTAGATATTTACATAATAGTGGTTTATTCATCTTTGTGGCTTTTTGATATCTTTATGTTTTATAGTCTTTAATATTTCTCCTTTATATAGTCATATATAAAATTGGTGATTGATTAGAAATAACTAAAACACAACCAGCAGATGCCATAGCAGTTATGTTGCTGGACTCCCACGTAGTTGACCATGGTTCCTGGACCTGGCAGCTTAAAACTCACACCAGGCATGCCCAAAATCCCAAGAAGAGAATGGAGGAGAAAGGGTTGTAGTGTGGCCATCCCCTTTTGGGGGTGATTTCTTGCTTTCTGTCCAGTACCTTAACCGTCATGGCACCTGCTGAGCCCTCTTTTTGATACTCTAGAGTATCCCCAGTATTTATGTGGATGATGCAGTTTTAACCTACCTTCACTTCTTAAAATTTTGAAAAATTGCCTCTTGAACTTAAACTGCTAGCTACATCCTATGTTAGAGATGGCTAGTTATCTTTGATTTACTAACTTTCAAATTGTATTAGAATACCATGATTCTCTAATGTTGTTGCCCAATTTTTATTTCTCCTTTTGTTTTCTGGGGGATTATATTTGTACTTTCACATTTTTCTTTTTAACATTCAACTTTCAGAGAGCATGAGAAGTTTTTGGAATAATTGCTTTGGGGGGCCAAATTTTGTTAGAATATTTGCAGTCCTTGCATATATTAGTATTTTCCCCCCTTTTTCTTCTTGGTTGTGAAAGGAATAACTTCATTTCCATTATTTCTAGGCCGAGATAATTTGTTTTAGGGGAAAACTACAATTTTGTACTAGTACAGTAATTTGCTTATCTTCTAACAGATTCTATATGCCAAAATATTGATTTCTATTTTTATTTTACTTTGAAAAATCTTCCCAAAGTAGTTTTTATCTCTTTTACACACCATACTGCTATCCATTAAAGAGTAATTGAGAGTGCTATTATTTATTTTTCATATAGGTTTAAAAAACGAATGCTAATAGAACAACTGGAGAACTTCTTGGATGAAATTCATCGAAGAGCCAATCAGATCAACCATATTAATAGCAATTGAGAGAAAATAGAATGTGGCCATTTGTTTCACTATCTTCTCCAAATACAAAGTAAATATAGGACTGTTGTGATCTTGCATTCATTTTTTGACATGCATTGTTGGCTATTTGAAATACTAAAGCAAGTCTACAGATCCTTTTTCCATCATTTTACAGTGACCTTTTCTTCATTTTGGTTTATTTTTGTAATGTGAAAAGTACTACTCTAAAAAACCTTTTTATTTAACAAACTAAAATATTCCTCCAAATCTCTTGCTTGTCATTGACTCTTGCGTGTCAATTTCCCTCAGGTTCTATTTTCTTAAACCAACCTTTAAAATTGTCACCTCTGTTAAGGTTGAACTTTGCCAAAAAAAAAAGCTAAAAAGAAGTTACTTTGTAATTTTTGGGGAAAAAAGCACATACATTAAAACTAGGTAATGTTTTGTATATACAGTTATTTTGGATATATTATTGTAAGTTGTACAAATGTATTTTGAAGAATATTTAAGAAAAGCACTTTTGTTATTCCATCAATAAATGCTCTATTTTACTCTTGTGTGGTTTAGGAAATAATCACATTTAAAGCAATCATTTAAAAACATCTTAAGATAATGGAATTTTAAAGGCCTTGCTTTTTAGCATTGGAAAAACACATCACTTAGAGTTCATATTTGTTAATCCTAACTGTAATTATATGTTACATAATCTGCATTGTCTTTTTACTATATGTTCGTAGTTTTTGTTGGCCATGCCAACATACTCCCATTTCTGCCTAGGTAATAATGGGAATGGTATTGTCTGCAGCAGATACTTTAAAAGCTGTTTGACAAAACAGACATTTTGGACATTATTGGTTTCCTTACTTCCCTTCAACTCCTTTTTTTTTCTCACTAGGTTTGTGGATGGCACTAAGCTGAAGCTGCTATTAGTTTAGGGAGTGGTAAGTTCGGGATACACTGCATACTTTGAAATGTCTACCTAGCCTTGAGCAATTTGATACGATGCTTACAAAAGTACACAACAAATTAAAAGTTCAGAGAAGATTTGTTCTGCCTTGCTATTCTCACCGTTAAACTCTCAGTTTTATTTAGAAGGTAGATGGAAAGGAAACAGATGTAAGATGACTTTACTCAGTTTGCATTCTTCCTGAGTTATATTGGATAAGTAAAACTGACACTGTTCATTCTCCCCTCAATCCAACATGGCTTTCTGTGTTCTTACTGAGGAAGCAATCCCATAGACTGACTCATTTACCATTTATATACCACTGCTGTGCCTTTTAGTGGTTTGTGGCGTAATGATTAGGAAAGAAGGTTATAATAGATGTGGGTTAAGAGAGGGCAAATAACTTACAAAATTATAATAAAATTCTGTTTTTAGGTTCATAATATCTGAAAATGCATACCCTTTTTACACTTTGCAAGGACATTTTTTTGAGTTTCAAGGGTATAGCAAAATAAAATTGTAACTTTTTATGAAGAAAAGCATAGGTGAAAGTGGAGAACATGCTTGAAGTCTGCTAATTTAGTCAAGGGGATTTGAAACTCTTCCAATACTGAAGACAAATCCTGTCAAGGAACAGAAACATTTAATGTAACAAAATATAGTATTTTCATATGCAATTCTTTAAACTTTTACCTCTATAAAATAATTTTAAGTAAAGATATCATTTAATGGATAGAATTGCTTAGGTAATTGCCTGCAATCACAATGCTAAACTCAAGATCTATACAAAATTCAGACAACAGTCTGGTCTTGAACTCATATATTTAGATTCTGAGATTAATAGGATTAGGAATCATTCAGACAAAAAGTTCATACCTAAGAATATCTAGGAAAGACATTCAATCTATTCCAATATTTAGCAGCATTCCTTATCAGAAAGTTCTTTTTTCTATCTCATGGGCTGCAATATGAGGTATAATAATCCTTTAGACCCTTGACCATTAATACATTTTTCAGAATGAACCCTGGAGGAAATTGGGAAGTAGCAGTCATGTCTAATTTTTGGTGAGAGTGGAGAAGGGTGAAAGGGATTCGTCTCTCTGCCACTATACACTTTCCATTCTTATTCCAAAATCTGTTGGGTCATCGGGAAAGTCATGACTCATTTTTGCATAGAAAAGAAAGCAAAAATACAGCATGACTTTCCCAATGACCTGATAGTTACAAGGTTTAAAGCCCATCAAAACTAAAGCTTAATATCCCATCTTTTTCATTTGTATTTTAAAGAAATACGGACATATTAGTTAAATTAGTAATCATTCTTGTCAGCCAAAGGGAGAGAGACTGTCTGGGAGGAGGGGAATATCTTGTCTTTTATGTCCTTTACATCACTGAATAACTTCAGGCTGGATAAATGTTACCCTCAAAAAGTTGAATCTTGGCGTTTTCAGATTTTTTTCTTAATGTTCTCATGTGTCCCATTTGTGAATTGATTCATCAGTTCTTCTTATCAGTCTATTTGTCAGTTTGGAGTAATGAAGGCTGAGGCCCATTTCTGATCTTTTCAATAGCTGTTACCAGGAGAATAGCCCTTGTGTGATACTGGCTACTGCCTCCCAGAAAGAGAGGTAAATACATCGACAAGGACCATACTAAGATTTGTGATGTATTATGGAACTGGTTTTGGATCAGCCTTGTATTTCTATTCTGATAGAAACAGAAACTAAGGCAGTTCTGAACACGCCTACCACCGAAATAGTGGCACATCCTTTCCTAGTTCAAGGTTTTCACATCATTTTTATGCAGTCAAATTTCAAAAGCAGAATTTTTCTCTTTTAACTGTTATCAACCTTCAATGGCTATCAGCTTTTGGCAATAACCTTTCTGTTAAAGATTATTCTTATCTCTGTTTCTTGAGAGAACAGAACCTGTCATTTTTTTCGTCTTTCATTTTTTGACACGAATCCTTTCGAAAAGAAGGCTTTGCTGCCTGTTCTGAGTGACAAGTGACATTTTCATTTATTCACAGTAGGGCTGGGATGATCATGATGAAATACTAAGAGGATATATTGTGTTGATGGACTTTTTCTCCCCAAATAATTCCAAAATAGAGTATTTTTCAGTGAATGGATTACCTTCATCCTTTTTGTCATAAAATTTTTCCTTTGATTTGGAAGTTAAAGCAGTATACAAATGATTCTCAGATAAAATGATGTTGACAGTATTTCCTGGACAATTTGTATAAAAACATGCATAATTTTCCTTATTCTAACTTTTGAATATTTTCTCTCCGTAAATAAAAGTAATGCCTGATGTTTAGTTAAAGTAGATCCACCTTTGCTTGATTTTATTAATCTTGTTCCATCCTATTTTCTTTTAATACACTGCTTAGACTTGCCAACAACTCTTAACTGAGAATCTCTTTTTCTTCATAGGGTGAGGGGAAAGAGGAACATTATTAAAAGAAATAATTTAAAGATTTTGTTCAAGGTGGTTGAAGCTTAGAAGACATCTGCTTGTCATTCTCATGTGCTAAGGCTTTGCCTGTTCACCATCTTTAGATTAAGATAAGGTTGTAGAGTGGGACTAAAAATACTAGAGCAGAAGTATTTGGTTTTGAGAAGGAACAACAGAAGACTAGTGTCAAAATCTAGGTGTGATCACTCAAATACTAGAGTCTCTAGGGACCACCCTGGCATATTCTACTTGCTTGGAGAAACTACTTTCTTAAAATAATGAGAAGGCTCTATGACAACTAAAAAAAAAAAAGGCTAGATTTATATTTTGGTCTAATTTCATGATTTTTGTAAGCTCCGAAAGTAGAAACCTCTTGAATTAAAAACAAAGATAATAAAACTACATGTACTACAAAAAAGCTGAGAGAAGGTGGTGAGAAGCTTGTTCAGTAGTAGTATACTTTGTACTCATGAAATATTTCCCTTTCTCAGAATACAAGACATAGCAACTGGGAAGCTTCTGAAGCACCATAGAAACAGCTGAAAGGAATGCTTGTTTGAGGCTGTAGTGGACAAATGAGCTCTTGTTGCTAGAGATACACTGATAAATATTTAATTTATCTGCATCTGATCAACAAATATCATAATACCTGTGTTGGGTTCTCTCAGGAAAAAGATGAATGGCTGATCAGCTTTAAAAATAGGAATCCGAGACCTTTTCAGTAACAACAGAGCTGCAGGAAAGATAATAGTAGAATATTGTTGCATTTTCTATTCATTTGGAGAAAATCACTATTTAAATTGGGTATGAAGTTGGTTATAGCCTATATTTTTGAAGAAACTAAAATATTCTGATGACATTTCTTTGTATGGTGGTGCGATGGGGTGCAAATGGGTAAATTACAGAGAAAAGATAGCACCTAACCAAATCTGTCTATTTTCAAACTATTCCACGGAATAAATTCCTTGCTAAAAGTTATTTTAGGGTGCCTATTCCTTGTTTTATGGAATAAACAAAAGTATTTGTACCATTGTCCAAAAGGATTTGTACAAATGAGTGTCTCTTAATTTTACCAAAAAAAGAAAGAAAGAAAAAAAACCCACCTCTTTGCTGTTAACTTATTTTTGTTTTTTAATTTCTATGTTATGCCACATCCATTTTGGGACTAATAAGTAGGAAGATCTAGTAGGGTGAAGACTGAACTGAATACACTTAACAGAGATCGAATGGGGACAAGCAGTGTGACCAAGTGTTGTTTCCCTTTATGAACATACCTGTGACTGCAGATGCCTTGGTGCCTTCCTCTAGAACCTCAATCTTGGACTTATGGATGGCTTCAGAAACATAAAAGTCATTTTGACCTAACCCCGGAGAATGATAAAAATGTGAATTATTTACTTCCATTTTTCTATACCTTTACTCTAAGGATTTGAGAACATTCAAAAACAATTTCTTAGGAAACAACAGTGTTCACTGCTGCTCACTTTGTAGCTAAGGAGAGATTATTTGAAAAACTCAGGTTCAGTATTCTATGAACCTTTCAAAACTTCAGTTATGTTTATCTAATAGTCTCTCACAAATTATTACTAAGAGTACTGCCCCATTTTCCCAGTGATTTATTTTCAAAAATTATTTCTAGTTAATATTGTAAACTTGAGCTATATTTCTAAACTTCAGTCATCATAAGACCCACCAAGATATGAGTTAAAGGCAGATTCCATAACCCAGAGATAATTTCCAGCAAGCTTCTGAAGTGATTTCCCTTGATTGCCTTCTTGGGCTGTATTTTAAAGGCCATTCTTAAATGACACAGCAAGTGTATGAGGCATAATTCAGTATGTTAAGTATGTGTCTAATATTGTATGACTGCATTCTGTATACCCATTATGCGGTCACCTTGCCTCATGGGCTAGAATCAGCAAAGAAAATAAGAGGTTAGAACTATAATTGTTCTATGTGCTAATAGTTTCAAAGATAAGCTTAGGAAATAGGAAGATATGACAGATTTTTGTAGTTTAACCTTTAACTATTTTTAAACAGCTTTGTAGAATATGAAATGGTACTTGATGACACACTAAAGATGGAAGTCACAGCCTTTAGAATGAGAAGAAACTTCAGAAATAATTTACTCTTAAGTCCTTTTATTTTAGAGAGAGCTTTTGAGTCATCTGAGATTATATACCTGATAAGCAGAGAGGGAAATGCAGGCAGGTTTTCTGACTCAAAGCTCACTTACACCCAACACCTCCATTCAAATATTACCACCTTTCAGAAGGGATATTCTAGTCAACTCTAGCAGGCTGCCAGAAAGAGATCTGTGGTATGAGTGTTAGTCATTTTGACATAGCTATATTTTCAGTAGCATTCTTTGTTTCATTTAGTTTAATATTTAAATCAATTTGCATTTGTCATGCATGTGTAAGAAGATGGTTTATGAGAGGATAAAACCCAGAATATAGAATATGCAGCATTCCATCCATCTTATAAATATGGTATACACAGATCTTAACAGTTGGCTGTATTTACTATAAGGAACAATTATATTCCAGCATAGGACAGAAGGGGAAAATCAATGGAAACATTCACTTGGAATCACTTGTCCTAAAACCAGTGAAGAATCTGAATTATTTTGGTAGTTGGTCATTTTCTGCAGGATCTGAAATTTGAAGAAGAAACAAATAAATAATCAGTCCTTAACTAGCTTACTGAGCACACTGAAGTGCAGTGCCAAAATTAAAAGAAATCTATGAATAAAAAATGACTTTTATGTTCCAATATCAACTTTTTTTTTTTTTTTTTGAGAGGTTTTTGCTATAGGGTGCATGTGCTCACTGGAAAGAAAGACAGAAAGTGGGAAATCACACACCGCCCCCCACGGGGAGATGGCCACACTGCAATCCCTTCTCCATTCTCCTTTTGGGATCTTGGGCACACACACACATGTGCCCTGCATGAGTAAGCCACTGGGTCTGGGACTCAAACCGTGATTGACTAGGTGGGAGTCCAGCAGCATAGCCATTATGCCAACTATTGGTCCCAACATTTTTCTTTTTCCTTTTTTTTTTTTTTGAGAGATTTTCACTATAGGGTGCGTGCGCTCGCCAGACAGGGACATAGAGACAGAAAGCGAGAAATCACTCCCCAGGGGGGATGGTCACGCTGCAATCCCTTCTCCTCCATTCTCCTCTCGGGATCTTGGGCACGCACACACATGCGCCCGGCGCGAGTTTTAAGCCACCGGGTCTGGGACATGAACCACGGTCGACCACGTGGGAGTCCAGCGATATAGCCATTATGCTAACTGCTGGTTCCCAACATTTTTCTTTTAATGCCATAGAATGTGTACACCCACCAAAGACAGAATGAAAGAAAGGGCTAGCCCTGTGGCATAGTTAAGGTGATTGGATCCCACAAGGCTGAGTGTGGTTCAAATTCAGGACCTGGTAATTTGAGAAACATGTCAGGCTTGTGTGCATGCATGTCCAAAATCCTGAGAGGAGAATGGAGAAGGGATTGTGATGTGGCCATCTTCTTGGGGGGTGGTTTCTCACTCTGTCTGGTGAGTGCATATGCTCCATAGTGTGTGTGGGGGGAGAAAGCACCCAAGTTAGCCATGTCATGCCACAATCCCTCCCTTATGTCTCATTTGATTCGTTGGGTATTTCAGTAACTACCCACAAAAGTAAGTAGTACTCATTTTTCTCCTCTGAAGGCAGCTGCTTAGTGCTTTTTAGGGGCATAACCTGTTTTCCTCAAATTTGATTGTCAAGACTCTGTAACGTGGGTTCCATGATTGATTAAATGTGGAAGATTGAGTTAGACCTTTATGTTTCTAAATTTTGCCAGAAAGTGCATGGACTTGCTGGAGAGAGAGAGGAAAAATGAGAAAGCCCCTTCTCTCTCCATGGAGAATAGTCATAATACCGTAATCGCTTTTCCTCCATTTCTCCTTTCTCTTAGGTTTTTGGGCATGTACGCACACACTCCCAGCATGTTTTTCAAGCCATGAGATTCAGGACTTAAACTGAGCAATTGGCCATGGGGCATCCTTTTTCCATAACCACTATGGGTTAAACAGTTTCACACTTCTGTTTTTAGTAGGGATTTCTCAGAGCTGCTTATTTGCTAATGTTTATAGTGAATGTCCGCAGGAAGATTTTAATAGTATTTAACCATGTAACTGCTTTTCCCCAGATTTACTAGATTAGCATTCTGGGGAATTAATTTATTATAAACCTATTTATTCTACATTATGTTCAATATCCAAAGCAAAGGGGTAAGATTCTTCATACCCTCCCTTCTAGCATATTTTCCACTCTTATGCCATAACATCATCTACAGTTGGCCTTTGTTTTTAGACTAAGAAGGCAGAAACAACTTTTTATCCACTTTAAATATTTCTTTCCCCAATTTGCATAATAGTGCCTGGTTCACGTATGTGTTTCAGCAATGTTGGATGAGTATTGGCTGGTGTCTGGAACCACAGCACAGAGCAGCTGTTTGGCAAATCTCAAATGATCGATTGTGCCTCCTACTCTTCTGTTAGTGGAGATAATTTTTCTTTGTATGTCATTGGTCATACTCTCACAAGGTGTAAGAGACTTAATAACATGACATTGTGTAACCACAAAATTTGCAAAATGTAAATCATACTCTTGCATTTGATCCATAGCTTCTTGTAAAGCAGGATAAATGTATCATTTGCTTATTTTTCTTTGGGAAGGGGTGTCTTTCTATTACTATTTAGTATTGGCAGAGTTAGTAACTTTAAAAAGTTCTCGTTAGAACTTGCTTCTAGTTTGTCTTTTTCCTTTTCATATCTCTTAGCTGTTGAAAAATGGAAGGTGTGTGCGTGTCACACAGCACCCAACCCAGAATATACAGAGAATGCTATGAAGACTGCGGTGGTCTTTGCAACTAGACTCTGGTTAGTTGCTTTCTCCACCTCCCTTAACTTACTCCTCACTCCTCCTGTTGCAGCTCTGACCAGATATCAGGTGTGGCCCAAGTTAACTTACATATTTAACCAAACTACTCTGGGCGATTTGCCTAATTTAAGTCACAGTAACAGAGAACTTATACACAGTCTTCAAAAAGTTCACGGAAAATGCGGTTATGCAAAAATGATGCATGGATTTCACCTTTCGTGCTGAAATAAACATACTTTAATTCCATTTTCCATAAACTTTTTGAAGTACTCACATCTCGTACTGAATGGAGATCAGAAACTACCCACTTAACAAAAGCTGAGGACAAGACAGTTTTTTTTAAAAATTTCAAGTTTGCGCATAAGGGGTATTTCTTAGATTAGGGGACCTGGGTCTCAGTCAAAGCCTGCTGATTCTAAAGGAGGTTGGATTCCCGGGGAAGTTGTACTTTTGATGTGAGTGAAACTGGAATTACTCTAAACGCTTCATAACTACTGGTGTCATGGATGACTGGTTGGGGGGAGGCACCTAAGCCACGATTCTCCTTATGGATCAAACTCCCTTTTTTTTTTTTTTTCCTGCAATTGCTTAAGCAGGAAGATTGAGCAAAGCTTTAGACAATATGTTCAAGGATGTTCTAATATTCAAAATAGTTATTTTCCAGTCTCCTCAGGTAAGAGAAATGTCAAGGTCACAGTCCCATCTTTACACAGATAATTTATTTTCCACGGTAGAAACAAATAAGCCAAGGTGAGGGGAGGGTTGTACCCTGAGTTTCATTGGGTCTTGATATTGAGGGAGTTCTTAAGGCAGCATAAAAGGATTGGATGACAAGAAGGAAAAGGTGAGTAACTTAAGTTGGAAAGCAGAACTTGAGAATGATTCTGGGTTCTGAACCAAATGGAAAGAAAAGGCCACATGTTTAATAGTGCAGAACTGCCTGGTAGCCCCTTGTTAATTGAAGGAAGGTAGGCTAGTATTTCATGGTCACTTTCTGGTTAACTCTGCTGATCTGTGCTAAATGTTAAATCATTTCATTTCTACAGTTAAGATGCAAGGTGGGTGATGGCTACCCACATTTTAGGAATGAGGAAAGCATTTCTTAGAGTAATTTGGACCTGTCTCTGCAATAAAGTCAGAAACTCACTTGGGCATAGAAGTAACCAGATTCTGACATTTATTATATTTAGAAAAGGGCATTTAAAAGTAATACTTAAGTTGACAAACTTTTTCTCTAAAGGCCTAGATATTAAATATTTTAACCATCCCTGGTCATCTTATGACTGCCCCAACTACTAGACTCTACTCTTACAGCAGGAAAGCAGCCATAAATGTTTTTTAAACAATTGGGGTGGCTATGTTGCAGTCAAACTTTATTTACAAAAAACAGATAGTGGTCCATTGTTTCCTGACACCTGCTTTAAAGAATAAAACTTTAAAGAAGATAGAAGTTTGGCATTTTTTGTTGTTGTTAGTAGGAAACATGACTGTGAGCTTCACACTTGGTACATAAGTGCTCAATAATTTTTAAATAAACCTGATCCAGGAGCCTGTATTTCTGTTGGTTTGAACAAATTTAAGTAGATTTAAATTACATTAGAAAAAAATCAGTTACATGTCAAGATATTTTTTAAATTAGGTTACTTGAGATCTCATCAGAGGAGCTCATAGACCTTGAAAGTCTTTACCAATAGTAGAGGTACACATGTGAGTTGAGATTAGTCCTGTTAGAGGACACAGGATTGATGGCACTTTAGGATGTACTTCTAGCACATTAAGGGACAGAGACTTAAGATATTTAAAAGAACAATCAGTAAGCCATAGTAATTAATTGAATATAGTAATGCTGAAGAAAAGATAAAAGTAGCCACAAGGTTTTATTGGCTAGGATCAACTAGGATGATCAAAAGAGTAGGTTTGCCATCAACCACAGGGATGCTAAAGCTGAGCTCTGAAGTTCTAGGAAGACAGAGTTGGATTTTGCATTAATGTACTTAAGTTCTCCATCTCTTGTTCTTTCCTTGCCTTCTGATCTTTTCACTCCAGTATTCCTCCTTTCCCTGCAGTGGCAGATCTGCCTGTGTCACTACAAAATATTTCTGATTGTGTCATAACTAAGCCAAAGATATTTATTGGGTATCCAACTGTAAGTCAGACATTGTCATGGACACCGTGCTGCAACTTGATTTCATCTCTTTGCATCTTTATTTATTTTTAGTGAGAGTTTTGCAATAGGGTGCATGTGCTCCCTGGAGAGACAGAGAAGGACACAGAGAAAGTGAGAAATCATACCACAATCCCTTCTTCATTCTCCCAGGATTTGGGGCACACATACACACCCACCCACTGTGGGTTTTAAGCCACCAGGTCCATCTACTATGTGGGAGTCCAGCGACTTAACCATCATTAAGCAATAAATGCAGACTTGTTACATTTAAAACACTACATCTTTCTTCTTGTGTTTTATTTGATAAGTAACTTTGCCACACAGTGTGTCTGGTCACAACTAAAGTCCAACCCAACACTTTTCTTATGGATCAAACTCCCATTTTTTTCTGAGATTATTTAAGAAGGAAGATTCTAAGCAAAGCTTTAGAGAACTCTGTGTATGATGTTCTAACATTCAACTTGGTAATTTTCAATCTGATCAGATAAAGAGAAATCAAGGCCATAATGTCATATTTGCACAGATAATTTTTTGTGGGGGAGGGATTTTTGCTATAGGGCATGTGCACTTGCTAGAAAGACAGAGACAGAGACAGAAAGCGAGAAATCGCCCCCCAGGGGGGATGGCCATGTCACAACCCCTTCTCTATTTTCTTCTTGGGATTTTGGGCACACATGCACACATGCCCGGTGTGAGTTTAAGCCACTGGGTCCAGGACTCGAATCATAGTCGACTACATGGGAGTCCAGTGACATAGCTATTATGCCAACTGCTGGTCCCTGTATAGATAATTTACTGTCCAGAGTAGAAACAAATTTGAGCCTTCATGTTGCCAAGTTTGGACAAGTCTCCTGAGGGTATTTTGGTACAGTTTCTGAATTCCACTCTTTTTATACAACAGATATTCAAAAAATTTATGGAAAATATATATTATAAAGTATGCATGGATTTCAAATTTTTTGTTGTTGTTCCATTATATACTCCTACTTCGATTCCATTTTCCTATGAACTTATTTTTTTTTGAGAGGTGTTCGCTATAGGGCGCGTGCGCTTGCCAGACTCACAGAGACATAGAGACAGAGAGCGAGAAATCACCCCCCAGGGGGGATGGTCATGTCATAATCCCTTCTCCTCCATTCTCCTCTCGGGATCTTGGGCACGCACGCACACGCGCCCGGCGTGAGTTTTAAGCCATCAGGTCCAGGACGTGAACTGCGATCGACTACGTGGGAGTCCGGCGACATAGCCATTACGCTAACTGCTGGTTCCCTCCTATGAACTTTTAAAAAGTTCTTCAAATCACAGGCAGACAGCCTCTATTGATTGGTAGTAGTGTGTTAGCTGTGGGCAAAGAAATTCAGTATGGATCCTGGAACAGAGCATTTTAGGGCAAAGTTACAAGAGTGATTTGAAGGAAGGAAATTGGAAATATGAGGGAAAGTTTCAAGTTTAGCTCATAGGACAGCGAATGGACAAGAAGGGAGAGGAGGTAGAAACAAAAGGTGACTGTGAGGCTGTCATGACAGTGGAAGATCAAAATAGTTGATTGTAGCATCATTGTCTCACACTTCTTATGATGGGTGAAAGAAAGGTAAGTTTCCTGTGCTATTGATCTCATCATGAAGGTGGTCTCCAAAAACTACCCAAATTTGACTGTTAATCAGAAGCAGCACATTCTTACATTAAAAAAAACCTTTTTGTTGTTGTTCTTTTACATAATGTTGACTCTGGCTGGCTGCCACCAAAGGCTTTATAGAAACCAATAATCAAAGAATGATAAAACTGTCCCAAACGTAATGCCTGTAAGTTTGGAAGAAGGACTTGTTGTTACCTGAAATTCCTTTCAAGTTAGCTTTGAGTGGATCAAAAAGATCAGTGACTCCCCAGGAACTTAAAATGCGTTTTAAGTTGAATTGATTTTGGATTCTAAATCTAAGAAAAACAAAGAGAAAACATAAACTTCCATTTAAAATTCTCATTCAATATACTTTCATACATACCACAAGAAGTCCAGTGTCCCTAACTGGAAGTCAGGGTCACCAGAATCATTTCCAGCTTTATCGTCCACCACTTCTCATAATGCTTTCCCACTGACTGACCACACACAGCTCGTTCCCTCCTCTGCCTTGGCTCCATTATTATCCATTCCTCAATTATCCATTATCCAATCACCCCCCTCCTCCAACTGTTGTATGACCTTTGTTTCTTAAAGTCCCTTTAACACTGTTCTATTCTTATGGTATAAAACTTTTTTAAAAAGTTTTTTTTCTGTAAAGCAGAGAAGAGAGAGAGGTACCCTTGAAAGGACCTTATTCTGACACAATCTTTTCCCCAGTCCTTCAGCTAATCAAGATCTTGAGCATGTACCCCTGGTGCGTTTCAGGTCTACTTAGGGTTCAAATCTGCAGTTGGCCATGTGACTTTCAGCACATCTGCAGTTGGCCATGTGACTTTAAGCACATCTGCAGTTGGCCATGTGACTTTCAGCACTGCACATCATTAGGCCAATGCCTGTACTACCGTGACTGGGCCTTAAACATTAGGCTTTCTATTTTTTAAAATTGTTTTCTTTATGACAGAGCACATGTATGTATGTGAAATTGAGATAGAGAGAGGAGCACTCTCAGCTCACACTGCAAACCCCTTCCTCTAGCTTGTCAGATTCTAGTTCATTTTTATTTCCTAATTATTATTTAATGAACACTTAACATTGTGCTAGGCACTATAATAAGTGTTTTCAGCAAATCATCTCATTTCATCTTCATATCACTATGTCATTATTATCTTCATTTAGTAGATAAGACAATGGAGGCTTAAAGAGTTTAAGAAACTTCCCAAGATGACATAATACATGGTGAACCTCAGTTTAAACCAAGGCTATGTGAATGCAGAGCTTGGGCTCTGATCAGCTGCATTTTGCTCCCTACTTACTCATATGGCATCTCACATACCATAGGTGCTGAGAAGAAATGATTGATTAACTGACAATTATTGGAATGTCTCATGTAATATGCTTATAAAACACTTTTTCACAGTTGCTGTGTGCAGGTGTGTGCCTTAACACCCAGCAAGGAAGGAATGCAACTTAAAGGCTTGGTTTTCCTAATAAGCCCAGTGAACACAATAAACCAGGACACTAATTTTATAATAATTCTCCAAGGACAAGCCATTAAAATTTTTATAGTTGAAAGATGTTTTTAAAGGGCTGCTGATATTATTTCTCTTTGAAAATAAAAAAGTTTGAAATTAAATTTAGATGGTCTTTTTTTCTATAAATAATGCAGAAGTTGCGGGAGAATAAAGATATTGGATGAAACTAATGTCAAAGTCTTTACTGCAATACAAGATAATGTGATCAATATTTTAAATGAAAATATCAGACTTTCTCATGAAAGTATATTTTGGATTTTCCAAAAAACAAACAAACAAACAAAAAAACAAAAAACTTTGTTTGACATTTCTCAAAAAATTTGAACTACCACTTCTGAAATTTCTTAATTACTGAAAACATCCTTTTTGGAAACTCTTAATGCTGAAACAGGGGTTAAGAGCATGAGCTTGAGAATCCAGTATTCTGGTTTAATCCTGGCTCAGCCTCTTTCTAGCTGAGGAGCTAGTTACTTTACTTTTCTTTGCCTTGGTGTCCTCATTTGTAAAGTAGGCATAATAGTGCTTGTTGGTAGGGTTGTGAAGATCAAATGAAATAATCCTTGTACAATGTCCAGCATAGCTCATACATTTATTGTTGCCATTATGTTTTTATTAAGGTGTTTCTTGATGATATGGAGGAATAATTAAGGGTTCTTTGAAACCAAATATAATAATTATGGTAGGTGATAAAACTCAGTAATACAATTTTTAGGAAACTAAAACAGCTATAAAAGTAAGGTATGACTGAATAGAGTGATTTTCTTGCATGGATATAAAGGCATATTGAGAAGAAATGGTACAAATAGTTTAAGGGTGGAAAAAGAGGGAAGAAAAAAAAGCAAAAAAACCAACAACCTTTACCAACACCAGACAGAGCTACCACAAGAAAAGAACACTACAGACAATATTTCTTAGGAATACAGATGCAAAACCCTCAACAAAATATTAGCAAATTGAATTCAGTACCGTATTAATCCCACCATGACCAAATGGGATTTATTCCAGGAATGCGAGGTGAGTTTAATATTTGAAAATAAATTAACATAATGTATTAATAGAGTAGAAGACAAAGGCCACATGATCACCTCAATAGATGCAGAAAAAGTATTTAACAAACTCAACACCTTCTCATGATTAAAACAAAACAAAAACAAAAGCAAACAGAGAACAGATTTTGGAGAGAAGGCCATTTCCTCAATCTGGTGAAGGATGTCAAGAAAAATCTCGCAGCTAATATCATGCTTAATGGCCAAAGACTGAAAGCTTTCTCCTTAAGATGAGAAACAAGGCTAGAATGTCTGTTCTGATCACTTCTATTCACATTGGTGGGCTGAACAATTTTGTGAGAAAAAGAAATAATAAAATGCAGTCTGACTAGACAGGAAAAAATCTGCATTTACAGATAATTTTGTCTTGTATATAGAAAATCCTAAAAAATTCACACACACACACACACACAAAAAAAAACCTGCTAGAGCTCAAAAATGAATTCATCTAAATGACAGGGTACAAGGTCAAATAGATAAATCATTTGTGTTTTTGTATACACCAGCAATGAGCACTCTGAAAGTAAAATTGGGAAAACATTTCCATTTACATAAACATCAAAAGGAATAAATACTTACAAATTTAACCAAAACAGTATAAGATGTGTGCACTTAAAGCTATAAAACATTGCTGAAAGAAAGTAATAAAGGCCTAAAAGAAAGGAAAAACATCTTGCATTCATGGGTTGGAACACTTACTCCCCAAATCTACAGATTCAATACAAGTCCATCTAAATCTCACCTGTCTTTTGAGCAGAAATTAACAAGCCAATCCTAGGGACATGGAATAGCCAAAACAATCTTGAAAAGGAAAAAAAAAAAATCAAAGAACTTACTTTCTCATTTGTGAACTTACTACAGATCTAAAGTAATCAAGACAGTGTGGTTCTAGGGACCAGCAGTTAGCATAATGGCTATTTTGCTGGACTCCCACGTAGTCGACCGTGGTTCACGTCCCAGACCCGGTGGCTTAAAACTCAAGCTGGGCGCATGTGTGTGCATGCCCAGGATCCCGAGAGGAGAATGGAGGAGAAGGGATTGCAGCGTGGCCATCCCCCCGAGGAGAGATTTCTTGCTTTCTGTCTCTCTGTCTCTCTCTATCTGACGAGTGCACGCGCCCTATAGCAAAAACCTCTAAAAAAAAAAATAATAGAAGTGTGGTTCTGGCAAAGGCATGAACATTTATGCTTATACAGAATTGAGCATCTAGAAATAAGCTTATCATTTATGGGCAATTGATTTAGACAAGAGTGCCAAGAAAATTCAGTGGAGGAAAGAATGATCTTTTTCAACAAATTGTGTTGGGACAACTGAATAGCTACAGGCAAAAAAAAAAAAAAAATGAAGTTCAACTTCTACCTCACACCATGTATAAAGACTAATGTAAAATGGACCAAAAACCTATCTAGATATAAGAGCCAAATATATAAAACTTCTGGGAAAAAACAAGCATAAATCTCTGTTCTTGGGACCAGCAGATGGTGTAATGGTTATGTCGCTGGACTCTCATGTAGTCAACCATAGTTCGAATACCAGACCCAGTGGCTTAAAATTTGCACTGGGCACATGTACATGCATGCCTAAAAACCTGAGAGGAGAATGGAGGAAAAGGGATTGCAGCATGGCTATCCCCACCCACCCAAGGGTGATTTCTCACTCTGTCTCTCTGGTGAATGCATGCTCCCTATAGTAAAAACTCTCTCTCTCTCTCAAAAAAAAAAAGACTAATCGACATGGAAAGGTCCTGGATTTGCCTCCAGAGACTTCCCTGAGTATTCCAGCCACGTGTGCCCATGATCTGGGGCTGGCTGAGGTTCGGGGTGGATCATGATGTTAGGATCAGGTACTGTCTCTCTCCCTCTCTCTCCCAGAAGTAATAAGTAATAAACAAAACCAAAAAATCTTTGTGTTCTTGATTTACCAGTTCTTTCTTAGGTAAGACACCAAAAGCTAAGAAACAAAAGAAGAAATAGATTAATTGAACTTGATCAAAATGAAAACTTTTGTTTTAAAAAGTTTTAAAACAACTTTTGAAAAAAGGACACCAGAAAGAAAGTGGAAAGATAACCCACAAAATGGAAGAAGATATTTACAAATCTTGTATATGATAAGGGACTATGTAAAGAACTACTAGTTCTTTACAATAAAAGGATGAACAACCAGTTTAAAAAATGTGCAAAGGATCTGAAATAGATATTTCTTCATGAAAAATTTATATAAACATTCAAGTAATGTATGAAAAGATGCTCTACATCTTAGGGAAATGCAAGTGAAAGTCGCAGTGAGATACCACTTCACACTGGCTAGGGTGGCTATAATAAAAAAAGATGGATAATAGCATGTGTAGCAAGGATGTGGAAAAATTTCCTCAAGCAGAAGGGAATGTAAAATAGAAAACAGTCTGGCAGTTCCTCAAAAAGCAAAATGTAAAGTTATCACATAACCCAGTAGCTAGTTCCATTCTTAGGTTCAGACAAATCTTGAGTTAGAATGGTTAGACATTATGGTGCTACTGATGTGGAAGAAATATGCATTCAGTAGAAACCATACTTATAATACTCATACATTTATTTTTTTTAAATTTCAGTACAGTATTTCACAAATTACACGAAACACACAGCATTTTTTTTTTTTTTTGGAGAGGTTTTTCGCTATAGGGCGCGTGCACTTGCCAGACAGACAGAGAGAGACATAGAGACAGAAAGCGAGAAATCATCCCCCAGGGGGGACAGTCACGCCGCAATCCCTTCTCCTCCATTCTCCTCTCGGGATCTTGGACATGCACGCACTTGCGCCCAGCGTAAGTTTAAGCCACTGGGTCTGGGACTCGAACTGTGGTCAACTAACTACATGGGAGTCCAGCGACATAGCCATTACACTAACTGCTGGTCTCACACACAGCATTTTATTTATTTATTTATTTTTATTGGGTGATTTTGCCCAATTTCAATCCATTGCAAGTGTTCTGAGCACGTTTAAGGTAGGTTGGGCAAAACCATGATGTTCAATAGGCTAAGTGTATTAAATGAATTTTTAACTTGTTTATTTTCAACTTATAATGAATTTATCAGGATATAACCCCATTGAAAGTCAAGGACATCTGTATATAACCAAGATAATTGAAAATATATAATCATAAAAAAATGTGCACATGAATACTTGCAGTAGCCAAAAAAGTGTCTTGTTTCCCAAATGTGTATAAATTTATAGGTAGATAGGTGAAACACAGCATATTCATACAGTGGAATATTATTCATCCATAAAAAGGAATAAAGTACTGAATCATACTATTAGAATGAAACTTAAAAACATTTTACAAAGAAGCCAGATACAAAAGGCCAGATATTGTATGATTTCTTTTACATGAAATGTCCAGAATAGGCAAATCTATATGTAGAAAAAAGAGATTTGTAGTTGTCAGGGGAGGGAAAATGGGAGTGACAGCTAATCAGTACAGGGTTTCTGTTTTCTTTCTCCCTCACCCAAAAAAATCTTCTTTTATATATATATATATATATA